ACTGCTATTACTGCCATCATTATCAATTTTTTCACTAATATTATTGTTATTACTGTCAATTTTCAACGTAATCACTATTGCCACCATTGTTATTGCCATTATTATCATCATCATTACTATTACAGTTATTATTACTACTGTTATTATTATTATTTCTACTATTGTTAGTGTTACTATTATTATTACTATTACAGTTATTGCTATCGTTATTATTATTATTATTATTATTATTATTATTATTGTTATCACTGTCGTTATTATTGTTTCCGTTGTATCATTATCATATTGATCATTATCGACCAGAAAGTTATCATTATCACTGGAGAAAAATTTTCTTTCCTATTGAATATCTTGTTTTCTCAACTTTCATTTTAAAAAGAGTGATTTTTAAACCGTTTTGTAGAACTTCAAAAATTTTGTAGAATGCTTCTCGATTCGGTATCATTGCGTCGTGAAGAGCGTGTTCGATGCCGTCGAAAGCCAAACATCGATCCTCTTGCACTACTGGTAACTGCAAAGGAGGATAGCTGCACAACGGGGTCACCATTTTGAATGTCGAGAAAAACCGGCAAGAATTAGAAAAATTGTGCTCTGCTTATAACGGCAGATGGGTTACCAAAACAATTTCAAATGTTCCAGTTCCAGGCATTGGCTGATCCAGGGGAATGGGAGAAGACGAGAGGTCTTTCGCCCCTCCCCCTCCCCCGCCCCCCAGTGCTTAGTTATTAGTTGTTTTACTGTACAAAACTTTGCTCGGTACCCTTATCGCCTCCTCCTCTCCTCTCCCTCCCCCGCCCTCCCCTCCCCACCATGAGAGCCTGGTCAGTCTCGGTTTAGTATTCATTGGAGCGTCAAGGATAGTGAGGACCGCGGTTTACCCCGGTGGAGAGAGGGGTGGATGACCACGGGGGGTAGTGGCGAAGGGTGAAGGGAAGGTAGAAAATCGCCCTCCCCAGGAGGCTATTCTGGATCCGCCTATGGTTCCAGGAAGAGAAATGCGGGAAGCTAGTACTATAATGGATAAAGCATCAGAAATTGATTCCCTACCAGTTCTTATCTTTGTAGAAAGTGTTCTACCTACGATAACAACGTACACGCAGGCGTGTGTTTTTAATGGAAGTTATTGTTTTAAGTCAAATAACTGTACTTTAACATTATCATCATTATTATTATTGTCGCGAAAATCGTTACTATCACCATTTACATTATTATATTACTATGGTGATTATTATTCTCAGTAAAGTCTATCTTGTTACTATGCCACTCCACTACTGTTATTCTATATATATGTATTATATATATTATATATATACACATATATAATACATATAATACATATATATAAATAATAATACATATATGTACATATATATATGCATTATTGCTGACCTTGTTTTTCATTATTATTATTATTTTTTATATATATACATTATTATTATTTTATACATATATATGTATAATTTTTGACCTTGTTTTTCATTATTATTATTACTATTTTATCCCCATTTTTGTCGTTACTGACACTCTGGAAAGCGTCAGTACTGTACTTCTTTTACTATTATCGTAAGCTTTTGGGATTATCAAGATCACTTTGACAAACTGTGTGAGCATTCCATGTTGGTAATGTTACCGGAGCTTATCCATACATCAGGCTAGGCTACGTCAGGTCTGAAGCCCTGCGTGTTTCGAGTTTATATCCGCCTCTCTCGAGGCCCTACTGGTTATTTGCTGTTTTGTTTGTACCACTCACTAATACGCAACGTTCACGGGTTTCCAGTAGAACAAGCAACAGTAAAGAACGAAAGGAAGGATTTCCCTGGGACTCTCCTTTCTCCTCCTCGTCCCATTTTGCCTTTGCTCTTTTCCTGAAAAAATAATTAACCGCAGTGAATATTACCTGGTCTGGTGTAATAACCGTGTAACAAATTCGAGTGTTTCCGTAATAAACTGATGAATTTACTGAGCACTGTGGTTCTGGAAGTAAAATCCGTCCGCTTGATGGTCACTACTTCGAAATTAACATAGATAAGCAGCCTGGAGTATTTCAGTCTGGGGTATTTCTCCTCTTTATACTTACGAAGCGCCCCATGGCCCCCTACTGACCAAACTGGCCCCTCGTTGCAAGATACTATCTTACTTCCTTCCTACACCACACCCCTTTTTCCTACTGCATGCATTTACCTCTTCTGAGGTTCACTTTTTTGCTTCCGACTTTATTTCTTAATATTTCATGGGAGTGACTTAAGCTGAAACTTTCTTACTTTAATCTCAATATCCAAAAAAAAGAAAAAAAAAGCAAGATCAAGATTTTTCGATAATTCATTTACTGTGAGAGAAAAGGGAGAGAAAGGTACGTGGAAGTTGGCCGAATGATTTTTATTAGCTAGTTCTCCTGACGAATACTTCAAACCGAAAGTGGCTCAAACCCTTTCTTCTCTCGTATGTGCCAGTAGCAATTTACCGTCGAAAAGAAACTATGAATTGCGGAAGAGGTCAAATTTCTAATTTGGAAACCTGACAGGGTGACTAGTTGATGACCAAATATGGAAATTTACGCAACAGCTGCACTCCTGCTTTCTTTCGTATATTTATTAAGGATCAAATTTGAATGGAAACAAAAAGCCTCTGCCGACCAACAGATGGTCATGCATGGATTGCCCAGCAAAGACATTGCGCGTACTTCTTGCGCCACAATGCATTCTTGTGGGCTCCGGTGGATTCGCAATTATGGTGCTTTATGGCAAAGAAAAGAAGACACATTCAATGGAAATGTAGCTCAGGGGGAGAAAATTTATTCTGGAAAAGCCAAAAAAAGAGAGGTTTTCCCGCACGTTTCGAAAGAACTAAGATCTTCTCTTTCGCGAAAAGCAGCAAAAATTGCAAAATTTTACATTGCTTGTGATAAGACCAAATATCACTATAGTTACACGACTGCTATTTTCCAATGACAAATAAGGGAAGACGTGTTTGATCCAAAAAACTTCAGAAATAGTTCACAGATGTAGGAAACTTTACTGGAGAAAACTAAACGAAAAAATAATTCTTTTCCTGAAATGCACTTGGAAATCCATAAAAAGCAAAAAAAAATTGGGGAAATGCTTGGGGTACCAACACTAATTTGAATGCAATCCTTTACGTAAAGCGAATGTCAGTAATGCAGGGGGATCAATGTGGTTCGTTACATAAAGATTCAGTCTCCGGAAATAATGAAGATAGAGTTGGTCGGCTTCCTCCCAGCTCATATTTTTTCGTTCATTCGTTTCGATGGTAAATTGGTGCTTAACATATGCCAGAGTGAAAAATTCGCCATAAATTGGTTTTAAGTAACCCTCATCGAGGGATTTATCGGCGGTCTTGTCACAAAACCTATTTCTGGATAGCTTTTTTTCCTTGAAAGATAATAGTTCCCTTAAATCCTGCATCCATGTTGTACCAAATTTGCTTGTTCGAGAAAAATTCCCGGCGACACTGCCAAACCGCACTTCCTCCTGACAGTAGTCTTAAATTCCACCTCCTATTTCTCCAGTCACCCCTGTGACGAACGCAGCAGCAAGTATGAACATGAAAATGAGGCGATCCGATGACGCAGCTTCGCACATTACGCCGGTTAACAGATTCATGTTTATAGCAACTAGGTAAACCCTCGTCATTGCTCAGCTTTTATAAATCCTTTTTAGCGATGAAATTTGCATATGCAAATAGAGGATGCAATTACGGAGAGCTACCAAGATTTTCATGCACTAAATTTTGGTAAAAACTTATCGCAAAGACGCATCTTCACGCCAGTCTTTCGATGTGCGCCGCTTATTCAAAACCCTTGACAATTAAATACTTTGGTTAACTACACTTCTTAGCACCATTCTCCAACCGTAAGTTTGTATGCGTTTTTGCATATATGCAAATGCAAGAATACATTTTGGCAAGAGGCTATCGTGTGTATATGTGTGTATGTGTATGTGTGTGTGTGTCTTTCCGTCTGTGTCTGTGTATCTGTGTTTTTGTACTTTCTGTAACCGACTTTCAATTCGAGAACCAGGAAAGCTAAAAAACTAAAAATTCAGGAGTATGTGCCCATCATCTTTACGACCCTCCCGTTTTGATATTGTCAGCCACGTATGCTTACCTCAAAAAAATATACGAATTGTTAGACGGGAAAGCGATCTTTTTTACAGGGATATCCTCTGCGCTTTGTGAGCTAAAGATTTCAAATTCAATCCCTAGTTGTGCATAGTTCTCACGTAATAGTGCGTGAATGTTTGGCGAGAAAAATGCTAACTCGGCAATCAGAAAAGACTACCCCGGAAGGCTGAAATTTTAAAAGGATGTCCCCTATCCACGTAGAACTTAAAGATTTTAAATTAAGCTTCCAGGTATGCGTGGTAGTCACGTGCGGGCATATGAAGGTTTTGACGGGAATATTATTGAAAACTACTAGCCTGGGAATCAAAAA